ACTAAATTTAAAGTATCATTTAACTCAATTTCAGGCTATTTGAAATTCTATTACGTAACAGACGCCATCCCATATTCGGGCATTAAGTCAATGAAATTTATACATAACAATTGGGTAACTGGACGGTTCAGGAACAGTATACGAGTAAAGAAAATATATTTTTTGTTAATTAACATTTTGATTGTACTTTGCTTCACACAATTAATGGTTGTAATGCGTGTATTTAGGAATAATAATGTTTTAAATTGTTAAGTTATTTTTATCATTAATTATGAAGGTTTAAGTTTAAAATGTTTTTGTTGTTAAATAGGATAGTTCAAAAGACTACAATCTAGAGAGTGAGCAATGTTTTATATCTGTGTTATTTTTTTTATTTAGGTGTTTGTATTGTTGTTGGCCCCGAGATACTTATTTGACGTCACGTGATGGCTATGAATTGATAACCAGAGCCTTGAAAATTTAGGAAACGATTTAAGCCATATAAAACGTGAGTTTGTTAGTAAATTCAGTCAGTTGATTACTGATTTGAGTGTCTGTTACAGTGGGTGACTGATTACTAAGTTAGCGAATTTGTTAGTCAGCAGAGGTGTAGGAAGCAAATTAAAAGGGGGGGGGGCAAGATTTATTTGACCCAACGAGGCGAGGGAATGTGTGCCACAGATGCATCCATTACGGCCGGGGACCAAGGCTCGCTTTAGGACCCTAGAAGCTATTAGGCTATGGATTAAATTCTACGCATTCTCTTGCTTTTCCTGAGAGTAAGTTCCCCAATCTTGATACATTTTAATGGTTTTATCCGCCACTGATCAATTTGTCTGTTACTATCAGGCATCTGGTTCAGTTTCGTGAATAATAAGAGTGTTGTTTCAAGTACCTTATGTACGAAAAAATTAGCAAGGGACTGTTTAGCGGTATTTGTGAATATTAATTTGAAAACGTAAAAAGAAAACTGATGGCATTTATATACTGAAAAATGAACGAACTAATAAATTTTTAAGTGAATTTTCTTTGGGGGGGGGGGAAGGGTATATTTGTGGTTAGTGATATAGTTGGTTACAAACCCTCGAGTTTTCCGCCAAAGGGCAATAATTCGTGAATGTTAGAGTTTCAAATAACTGGGCATAACTGTTGAGCACGAAGTAGGCCTAAGTTTCAAGGATAAAATCCAGGAATGCATGCCAACGTGATTAGTTGTGCCTTATTTCAAGATCTGGGTATTTTTAAACAGCTTAATTCAATTTTTAAAGTGTAATTTTATATTCAATGTTTTATCATTATGTCTCTGATGGAAGTGCCTTCAGTAGTAATTTTAAATTATTTAAATAAAAGGAGTTTAAATTAAACTTGAACCGAGACAAAAGAAATCACCGATAGCAAGTTTAACGTTAGTAAAAGAAAAGAATGCGCAGATGGACAAGTTCGCAATGGAAATTAAATAATATAGAATAATTTACTTCAGTTAATTCAGCACAATTGTTATTAGTCGTCTAATGGAAAAAACAAAAAAGAAAGAAAAAGGAACACTAAAAGCAAACTTTAATGAGGTTGTTCAGACATATTAATGACATGCTATAATTACTTTCATTAACAAGCTTTACCTTAGACAGTGAAATTTTGTTGTTGTCATTGACCAGATTAATTAATATTACAATAAATTGGTATCGTCATAAATCAACTTCCTTTACACATCTTCTGGCAACCAATGTTTTAATGTTTGCATTACGGCTTCTTTTATATTAGCCCTGAAGAAGCCGTAATAGCGAAGCGTTGGTCAAAATAAATTCTGTTTTATTTGAAGTAAATGGCCGTTTTTATTTTGTTTGTTATGCAAATATTCTCCAGTTAGTACTAAAAACTGTGAACTCGGCAAATATTTTAACATTGTAAAAAATGAGTCCGCTTAATATCCACTTTCAAAACGTACACAACATGATCTTATTTGGTGAAAACAGTCATTAAACTTTAACCCTCATTTTCCAATTAAAGTTTAACCGTGACGTAGCAGTCAGTAGTATCGATCCCTTTGGTTGAAATGTCACAACCACGGCCTGTACAATTACAAATGGCATTTTATTGATCGCTTTCTCAAATTCCTTAGAACCAGAAGTTGGCTCTAATATCGCTGATAAATACTAGTTACTGGAATTCACAAACCTTAACATAAGCGACATTCTTCCAGATGACCAGGATACTTTGAAACATAGTAAGGCTTTACTATGGATAGCAAACGATACAATAGACGAATTTTATCTTTCCACGTCCAAAACACCTTTTCTACGTAACATTAAAAACATCAGTCTCTATTCCTTAGGTATCCACTTTGTAAGTATTAATTATTTCAAAATTAAAACCAATACAATTCTTTCACACGTTCGTGTTTCAAGTACGTTTCTTAGACTTGTAATGTTTTCTAATATTTTTAAATTAACATTAATTACAGTTATGTTGGCACACAATATTATGTTTCCTGACTATAGGTAATGATTAATAAGATAGACACTGGAAGAGCGCATAAGACAGTGAGCTTGCTCCACTTTAGCATAAAATATTAGAATTACTAATAGTTAGCAGCCGTATACTTTTACGTGAAATATCGTTTTATGCCTTTTTTAATAGTTAACAGCTTCCATTTTATTGATGTTTATTCTGAACCAATAATATTACCGATGGTTGTCAGCATTCAGCTTGGAATAAAAGATTATAATTTTTAGTTATTGACTTGAAAGATTGTTTCGTTAGTAATTTTTTCTTAACCAAAACGTGAATTTCAGTGATGAGAAAATGATGGAGGCCTAATCCATTCTTTCATTCGTTGCCAGAATCTATTGAAATATTGTCTTAATCATTGGCATCAAAAGCTATATTTGGCGACAAAACATGTTTTAAGCAAACAATCTTTACCTTTTCAAACTAATAAAAAACTCAATAGCTTTATGCTGGTAAATTTAAGCTAACCTTAAAGTTATTAAACTTCACACTAATCACAAATGGATATAAATAATCTGTCTTTCTTCATTGTGATAAAACATGACCGCCATCTGTTGACATTTACGTACATTATCACTTGTTATAACAAGTTCTTATAATTTAAGGTTATCTTAAATTACTCTTTACCTTTCATTTATAGTAAACACTGATTTGGCCAAAACATTTACATGTATAATCAATCTTAATTAATATTTATTCAAGAACTGTTAATGAAAATAAGGGTTTTCAATATATCTTTATGGACAATATAATTTAAGGTTCTGCTTTGGGACACCTCAGAATATTCAAAATACATTTCAATTATCAAGACCTCAACTCTTACTGGTCAAAATGTTTTTGAACCAGGTGTATGAAGCTCATTGAATTTTCTCATATTTGAAACATTAAATTTGATGCACGCTAACACACCTTATGTTACTTAAGTATATTAGTATCAGAAACTAGGACACTAAAGTTTAATAGTGGGCATGGGTGTAACATGGATTTCAGTCTCTTTCACAAAAGATCTATGAGACAACTTTCTATTACGGTATGGTCAGGGTCAAGGATCCCATTTAAAGTATGACAATTAGGCATTTTAAAACTAGATAACCCATATAAACAAACAATGAAAATTTGCATATAACCAAAAGCCGATTTCAACATGTGAAGCTTAAGAATTTTAAACTTGAAAAATAGAAATTTCCCCTTAAAAACCAAAGATAAACATAAACGTTTCATTTCGTTCTTTTTATTTATTATAATTGTCATCAATACATGTTCTAAAACAAAACAAACAAGGGGGACAAAACTTATTCCACAAAACATTGGTAGATGAACCAATATCTATCATTTTTTGTGGTACAAGTTTTTAACCTTTTCTGTTTTTGAGTTAATCCACCACAGCTGTCATTGGTTAACTTATCAATATAAGTTCTGAAGTTTCATGCCAAGCCTTAACTTCCAACTTATGTGATGGAAATTTCATATAAACCAAAAATTTCAGATTAAATTTTTTTTATTCAAACTGACATTTTGCATACAAGTTAAAAAATTTAATGACCACTTCTAAGAATTTTTAACTCACATATATATATTTTTTATTTTTACCTACTGGTACATGGTTTGTTAGAGAAAACTACTCAATCGTTCACGTTCCCTTTCGTTCATATTCTAAATATGTTCTTATTAAATACGTAACAAAAATAACACTAAAAAACAATGACCAGTCTTTGTTAAAACATAACTTTACACAAACTAAAAACATTTTCAAAGGTAAAGACTGTATAAAAAAGCAAAAGATCATGTAATGAATTTTTGTTAATGATGAGAACATAGACAGAAATCATAAAACGTTAACAGGAAGGTACTATGATGCTTCTAAAGAGAGGTTTACACAGAAATATTGCTGTGAATTTAAGCCAGTATTTGTGAAAGACAAGCTACAGTTACACACACATTACTTTGAACAGGGTGTTTAATTTGGCTGAATATTAAAACACATTCATTCTTGAAAGTTTGTATATTAAAATAATTTTGCACTTATTAACAAGTAGTAATTAAAAAGAAGAGAGAAATTAACTGTCTCAAAAGCTTGTAACACCCATACTATATATACATATTAATACACAAGGTTTTAACGCCATCTTTAGTTTGGTTATTTACAACTTTATGTATAAAAATATACTATTAAAAAGGGATATGTCTGTTACTCACTACAACTATAAATTATGATCTTCTTTAATTTATGTATTAAAAAGGGATATGTCTGTTACTCACTACAACTATAAATTATGATCTTCTTTAATTTCTGTATTAAAAAGGGATATGTCTGTTACTCACTACAACTATAAATTATGATCTTCTTTAATTTCTGTATTAAAAAGGGATATGTCTATTACTCACTACAACTATAAATTATGATCTTCTTTAATTTATGTATTAAAAAGGGATATGTCTGTTACTCACTACAACTATAAATTATGATCTTCTTTAATTTCTGTATTAAAAAGGGATATGTCTGTTACTCACTACAACTATAAATTATGATCTTCTTTAATTTCTATAGTTATTTTAATTCAAGGTTACTTTCATATTTTCAAGAAAATGACTCGTGGTAATAATTTTTTTAAAAAGACATGCACTAATATACCTAATTGATTTATGCAGCACTAAAAATAAGTTTATATAAGATTATGATAAGATCTATTTCACAGGAGCCTGTTGGAATGTTTCGTGATATTTTTGAATCTCAGTAATAATTTTGATTGGCTTATTTTTTCTACAGTTGTTCTACTTACAATGCTGAAAGCTGACTGGATAAACATGCAGTAAAAAAAAAAAAAGAATAATGACAGATACAAGTAAATTTTAAGCAACTTAGGGTACTACACTGATTTCAAGCACATTTGATCCCAAAGACCTGTTTGTGTAAAGATGTTACACTGTCATTCTCTTCCAGGTATCTTTATTCATTTCAAAGTGGATTTCTTTCTTAGTCTCAGCTTCAGTATTTAATTCTCCTTCAATCACAACAAAAGAAATTATTGTTATATTTTGAGACCAGTAATATTTCATACATAAGATAGCATCAGTATTGAATAACCCAATTTAAAAATGACTTTTTTTTAAAACCCTTACTTTAATCAGAGAAACCGCAACTTCGTAAGTGTTTAGGCTTCCGAGTGGTATTTTCTCATTAACAAACTTAATCATAATAATCTTAACACAAAGTGTTTTCAATGACAAACTTTATAAATTGTGTTTGCACTAGATTTAAGAAATATATTATGAGCAGAAAGTTAAACATTAAGTTTATAGTCATTATAACACATTTTACAAAAAATATCAATATTCAACTTTTTTATTTACCAACCTAATAATTATTATAATATTTAATTATTATTATTATTATTATATTACAATTATTAAAACTCGCTTTCAGTATAGTGATAAATAAAAGGCTTACATTACCAAAACGATACACACAACACACAATTGAGAATTGAGTGTAGTGGAATCATGAAATGTGCAAAAAAATGTCTGGCTGTAGGTGTAGGGAGAAAGGTTTGAAATATGGGTGGAGGGGAGTTTTTGAGTCTGATGAAATAATATAGGGTGATCCAATGAGAGACATCTCACCAATTTCTCATGAGAAGAATATAATACACTAACAACACACAAACCTAAATTTCTAAAATAGATCACTTGGTTTGCAACAATGTCAGTTATTAATAGTGTATTGTATTCTTCCCAGAAATCATTGAGGTATCCCTCGATGAATTGCCCTGCACTCCTTGTTTTTGTTACTCACTCTAGTTAGCCACTCATACATATTAGAAACCTTCATTGAAAGTATAATGTAATATAATACTAAACAGTCAACTTAAAAAATAGGTTTGAATACACCTATATTTTGTCTTTAACATTTCTACATGTTTAATACTAATGGCTTTCCAAATACATTGCCCATAAACAAGTCAATACTCTTATCAGGACGAGCCCATAAAATTATTTCTGTAGTTCACTTATTTCCCAACCTTCAGCACACCAATTCCAAAATGATATAAAGAAAAAAAATACTTACTTGGCTGATATCAGTCCTGTAGGAGGTTTTTTATGGCCTTCAACACTAACAGCACACTGTTAAAACAAAAAACATAGTGAGGGTAAAAGGAAACACGGCTTTATCCTATATCATAAAGTATCGATATAGAAGTAAATACAGGCCTCCAAATAAGACACTGCAAAAATAAAGATTGTTTTTTTAATGTTCCTTCTTCTAAAAATGTATAACAAATTAGTTTCAAAGACTAAAATACAGAGCTAATATATACATAAATTTATATTTGACATATAATCAATGTGACTTCTATAAAATTTCAATGAAGTCCAGAACAGTTAAAAAAAACTGTTAAAACTTAATATAAAAATGTAAACAACTTATAAGCTATGTGCATATGTATAAATATTTTGTAAAAATGTAAATAGATAAAGACAATGGTACATAAAACATACGTTCTTTTGTACATCTTCTGTTGTGAAACCTTCAAAGCTGCGTTTCCTATAAGGAAAAAAAACAGTGGATGGAAACTCGCAAGTGAACACCAGTTATCATTTGTATTTAACCTAATCTAGATTAAATACACATGCTAAAGATGTTGACAGTTTTGATTTCTTAACTCATGATTATTAACAAAAGTTTACGCCAGTTACTGTTTGTACTTAACCTAATCTAGTTAATGCATATAGCAAAGATGTTAAAAATTTTGATTTCTTAAAAACATTTAAAAGTATTATGCTAATATTTTCTGTTATGTTTGTAAATACTTTTAATTCTTTATAGAAATGTTAATGATCATGACTCAGAAATGCATATAGTCCATAACAATTTCCTATTTACCTTAATTGATAAGGATGAGTAGGAGAAGTTTGTTTCAAAATTTCAACATCATCAAATATCACTTGAGCTCCACCACCTGAAGAGGGCACTACATTTCCCTATAGATAAAACAGACAAAACAAAATTTTCTGTGGCTTTTATTTTAAAGATCCCCATACCATTCAGAGGATACAAGAATTCCTTATTCAGTGACCAACATAATCTAGCTATTAAAACATAGTTAACTGTCGTATACGAGGTTTCTAGTGAAAACTACAAGATTTTGTCAGGTATGATATGCCAAGTTACCTTGTACAACTTTGTTTCTACATCCCCATCTATATCTTGTTCTTGATGCGTCAATACATATCCTTGTGCTGCATTTCTCCCAGTTATATCTTTAGTTTCCAACTTGCTAACTGATTTTTTCTTTTTCATGTTGGGTTGCAACACAGTGCCTAAGAAAAAAAAAAAAGAGTTGAAAAATGACAATACCCATCTGAAATTCAGTCTCAACACAGAGAAAGACGGTGTTTTAATTCTGATACGGGTAGTACCTGCAAAAGTATGGTGTTCTAACACATTGCCCAATACCTGTTAGATGTCATTACTTTTAAAATACACGAAGAAAAACACCATTCTGTGAGGCTCCACTTTCAATTGATAAACACTTTTGGTTGTTAATAAACAAGGTTTAAAACCTATGAAACATGCTTATGTATCAAATGTCTATCATTACACATTAGGTATAACTTAATATATTTATCTATCATGTCTATCTACAATCCTAACTTACAACACTGAAATGAAAATTTATAACTAAAATTACAAAAATCATCAGTGAAATTTGTCATACAGTCAAGAACCAAATGAACCTTTTAAGACTTATATTCTTTCTAGAATACGTTACAACTGTGTTAACAATGGATGCAAGTCATTTACTCATACACCTTTAACAGTTTCCTTAATTATTCTATGGATATGTAATTTTTTTTTACATTTTCATTTCCCTTAAATAATGGTAAATAGTTTCAGACAAACCATATTCTAGGCTCCCTGGTGGACGATGATCAATCCATTTCTCCCCTCCAGAAGATCGTGACCGCCTGTGTCTAGGATTGGCCACTGCCACACTCTGAAGCAGTTAAAAGATTAAAACAGATTTTACTCAACTTTAAATAGCATGTTTCATCAGTACATTTTTAAATAAGTGGTCTGCAATAAATCATATATATATATATATATATATATATATATATATA